GCGCGAGCCCCGCTCGGCGACCAACACGCTTTATTACCGGGGCTGCGGATGGCGGGCGGGCACCCGGGGGAGGCGCCCCTGCCCCACTCGGTGCCCAGTGCCCCGATGCCCTTCCCAGCACCGTTGTCCCAGCCTCAGCCTTTGAACCAGAGTGCGTGGGTCCCTAGCCTCGTTTCTGCTCCTCCCTAGTTGGGAGACCGTGGGGCGAGTCCCTTACCTGCCCTGGAGCCTAATATTCCGTCTGCAAAATGGGAGCAATTGTAACTACCTAGTTGGGTGATTATTGCAAAGGAGCCGGTTCAGGAATTCTCAATGTTGACAGTGTATCAAAAAGACACAGTCCCGGAGCTAGAGAGCCCTGGTAGGGGAGTGGTTAAATGGCTCAGCTACCAGTGGGAAGATCAGAGGTGCAGATTTACTAATCCCTTGATGCAGAGCCTCAGGGGAACCAAAAGGGGCGTTCCACTCAGCCTCACCATGAAAGTAGGAATCCACTCGCCCTCCCCGGCAGTGCGATTGGTTTTCATCTGGAGCTGACAAGCCCCGGTGGGTAAATGTGTAAATGTCTGGCTGCTAACCTAAAAGGTGGGTTGGAACCTACCAACAGCCCCCCAGGAAAAGATGTTGCGGTGGGTTTCCATAGTGAGGAACGCCTTGGAGACTCTATGGGTAGTGCTACTCTTGTCTCACATTGTCACTGAGTTGAAATTCACCTAACAGCATGGTTTCTGCCACATTACTCTCACCTCAAATCTGAGGTGACTGTCACCGTGGTGGGAAGGGAGGAGAGAGTAACAAGGGGTAGAGGAAGGCTTAGAGTGAGTGTTACTTCCTTTCACCAGGTAAAGAGCTGTCCAGGACATATATCTTGAGGCCCCAGAAAGTAACTAACCATGGAGGCAAAACTTGAAACCTTCAGTGCCCAGGGCATGGCCTGGCACACAGCTGGGGTTTTCCAAGGCCATGAAGGGGCAGAGAAAGCACCCGGCCTGGGGGTTAGGAAGCTGAGGTTTTAAGCTCAGTTTTCATTCGACTTCGGTGTGTAAGCTTAGACGAGTCTGGGGAGCTGTGAGGGTTGGTGTGGGGCTCAGTAACTGTGGGGTCCTCAGGGTGGGGCCTGCTCAGAGAAGATGGGGCCTCTGGGTCTTCTGGCTGGGGATCTTCATGGGGTTCCTCCTCCTCCTGTCCCAGCCCTGCCAGCCTCTTGCTGACCTCCCACAGCCGGTGGGCTGCCCGGTCATCTCGGGCAGCTGGGGGCACCTCCTCCACATGGCAGTTGGCAAAGTATCTCCCACTGAGGGGTTCAAGGCCTTCCTGAAGAGCGCAGTACAGAGATGTCTGAGCACCCCCTCTCGGCGTCCGCAGCACCAGCCATGCCAGTGGGCACAGAAGGGGGCGCAGCCATCCTGGAACATGACGCAGGAAGAGCTCTGAGTTCACAGGTCCTGGGAGCAGGAAGAAAGGCAGGCCAGTGAGATTCCAGGGTAAAGGCAATGGGAACAGAGCCAGAGGGGAATGGGGGACAGAACCCGGTTCCAGAAAAGCCAAGGTAGCATTTGTCAGGCAGTCAGGCCCCCCCCACAGTGACTCCCCTCATTGTTCCAGGGGCCTCCTCTCTTTCCCCCAGAGATCTTTTGTACATCCTCCCCACACACCCCTGATTTTGCTTGGAACGGTTCTCTCCCCATCTTTATCTTTTAGCTCAAGCCCTGCTCCTTTATTTATCCTTCACCCACCACCTTCCAAATGGAGCTCTGAAGTAGAAAGAGAAAGCCCCGCCTTTATCCTGCAGGTGGTTTTAAGTTGCTGACCTTGCAGTTAGCTGCCCCTCATATAAGCACTCTGCCACCAGGGCTCCACTGGAAGCCTTATAGAACAGTTCTATTCTGCTCTGTAGGGTCACGATGAGTTGAGATTGTGGGTTTGGTTTGTTTGTGTTTTGGAGTGATTATGATCACTGTCGTCTTATGATCACGAATAAGCCGTAGGCCATGGCATCCTACAACGCAGCATAGTAATAAAAACACAGGTGGTTCTCATTATACCTCTGCCAATTGTTCCCTGAAGGCAGGCAGGTTTTATTCACTGATATTATTCTCAGTAAAAATCAAAGTGCTTACAAAGGACCCTGGATGAGCCAACCATTCTCTTTGACTTCATCTCTTTCCACTCTCCCCCCTCTCCCTCTGTTCCAGCCACACCAGCCTCCCTGACCTTCCTCAGGGACCCCAGGCATGTCTGCCTCAGGGGCTTTGCACTTGCTACAGGACCCATACCATCACTTCCTTCAGGAATCCACTCAAATGTCACCCATTCAGATATATCTTCCTGGGTTGCCATTGATAAAACAGCACCCCGTCATCCCCACTCCCTGGTGTCCCATAGTTCCCTGATCCTGTTTTATCTTTCCCCATACCAGGGGAACTTTGTCACCACCTGTCATATTGTCTGTGTCCGTCTCCACATTAGAATATAAACTATGAGGGTAGGGTCTTTGTTTTTTTTGTTGCTGTATCCCTAGCATTAAGAATAATTCCTGGCACTCTAGGATGAATTAATAATCGTTAGCTATCATCATCAGCCGGGTCAGCCAGTATGGCTGGCTCTTTGGGGGCGAGATTCTGGGATTTATGCATTGCCATGTTCTACCCAGGGGTCAGCGGCTAAGCTTGTGGTTTGAGAGGAAGAACTTAGCTTGGGGGACCCTGGTTCCAAGAACAGTAGAATGTCCCTCACTGAGAGACTGGGGGGATGGGGCCTGAGGTGGGGCCATGAGGGCAGAGGGGCAGTCTGAAGCAACCATGGAACTAGGCCTCACCTGGATGGGCAGCGTAGCAGGTGACGCCTGTGCCTTCAAGCTGGGTGGCCAGCTCCCGGACAAATAATACGTTGGCCAGCTTACTGTCAGCATATGCCCGGAGCTCCTGCTGCCAGCCCACCACTGGGTGGTTCAGGCGGGCGAAGTCCAGGCGTCCACGCCGGTGGGCTGCTGAGGAGACCACCACCACACGGCTGGGGGTGCACATCTTCAACCGGGACAGCAGCAGCTGTGTCAGCAGGAAGGGGCCGACGTGGTTGACCCGCAGCAGCAGGTTAAAGGGCTCACGTGTCCGGCCACAGGAACTGATCCCTGGGGCAGGGGCTCGGCATGAGCAAGTGCTCCAGAGGGAACCCCGAAGGCCTGCCTCAGTGCCCCCAGCTGTGAGCTGGAAGCAGAGGGCAGCCTTTTCCCTGTGGGCTCTGGACCCTGGCTACCCACCACCAACCCCCCTGGCCCCCCTTACAGGGCTTGCTGCCCCTCACCGGCGTTGTGGATGAGGAAGTCGAGCCGTGGCTCCGAGTGCAGGAAGGCAGTGGCAAAGGCTCGCACAGAGGCCAGACTGGCCAAATCCAAAGCCATGAATATGACCTCATTGTTCCCACTTTCCTGCGGAGTGGCAAGGACGGGGTTTGTCACCGGACAGCTCCCTCCTCTTCCCTCTCCCCAGGCACCCAGTTCGGAGAGTCTCCTGCATCCTCATATTAAAATCTGCCCTGTGCATTAGAGTGCAGTGAGTACGTGGGTGGATAGCGGATGCCAATTTTGACTGCCTCTTACTACAGTGTGCCTTTGAGATACTTAATCCCTCCGGGGTCTCAGTTCTGTCTCTGTAAAATGGGAACAATAACAGTACGTCTCTTACAGAGTTGTGAGGGTTAAAGGAGTTAATATATATATATATACATACACATACACACACTGTACTCAGGACTGACCTGCACCCAGCACTGATCCTTCTTACCATCCCTCTGCCCATTATCAGGGGCCCTGGGTGGTGTAGTGGTTACACACTGGGCTGCGATCTGCATGGTTGGCAGTTCGGAACCACCAGCAGCTCCGCGGGAGAAGGAGAGTGACCATTTCAGAAAACCACAGGGGTCGCTGTGAGCCAGCGCGGACTCCATGGCAGTGAGGGGTTTGTTTGGTTGTACATTCGTCCACCTCTTAGAACGGCACTCACTTCCTTCAGGTAGCCCTCCTCACAACCACTTGGGTCTGGTGCCCTCTCTCCGTGTGACCTCAGCACCTGTGCACCCCTCTCCTGCCCTAAGGCAACCAATCCGCAGGCTCGTCTCACCAAAGGGTCCCCAGAGCGGCTTGGCTGG